CAGAGGTGTATTCCTGGGCCACAGGGTATGCTTGCATTCTGTTTTACGAAATAGTGCTTAATTGCTCTCCAAAGTGGTTATATTAATTTACAACCAAACAGTAAAGTGAGTCCTTGCCTTCCCACACCTTTGCCAACCCTTGACACTGTCAGACTCTTACAACATTTGCCCATCTGATGGGTGATGTATTAATCTGCTCTCTAACAAAATAACAAAAGAGGGATATTAGATATCAGTATAGTTTTCTTTTGAGTCTTTACTTTCCCGCCTCTTAACCAGACTCAAACTTCAGTGCTCCTCCAAAACGTTGTATGGCTTGGTCTCATATACCATGACTGCACTCATCACCTGAGAAAGGAGTGATGTGATACCAGTCATCTACAGTTAAATATTATCTGTTGGCTGATTAAATGTTTGGAAGGGCTGGGGCTCCTTTCAGACAATTTTTATAAGAAAAAAAAAATTTTTTTTTAATTGCCATCAGCCAAGCTGGTCCATACTCTGAAAGCCACGAGCAGCAACCCTGTCATAGCTAGTCTTGGCATCTCCCCGATTAAAGCCCTTGTCTGACTTCCAAACACAGCTTGCTGGCATCAGGAAAGAGCGGCTTACCGGTGCCCAGGAGTTTTGCCTGCAGGGAGAAGCGGGGGAGGGGAGTCACAGAGGCCACCAGAAGCACTGCGGCCTGCTCTCCCCTGGCTGCAGCACTTGGTGGCCCTGCCCACCTCCCCTCCTAAGCTGAGCAGTCACAGGAGGGCCAAAGGTTCCGTGGAGTCTGCACACACTGCCACTCACCACCCATCTTGGCTCACCTTCCCCCCAGACAGCTTCTCTAACAAAGCTCCAAATAATCAGCCTATTCATCTATCTAGTCCTTGGCTAGTTTGTGGTTAAAGAGAGAGAGGAAAAAAAACAAGCTTTCAGAAAAGTATGATAGAATTAAGAATGGTCTTCATTGGGAATTCCCCAGTGGTTCAATGGTTAAGACACTGCACTTTCGGGAAACTAAGGTCCCACAAGCTGTGCCACAAAGCAACGCCCCCCTCCCCCAAAGAGTGGGCTTCATTTAGTTCTATTTCTATCTGTATCAGAACTGAAGCTTAAAGTGGTGATTCAAGGTCCTATAGGACCGGCCGCGAAATAAATCACTTACATATCTCACAAGATCCTCACTCAACAGTGTTTCAAGACAACTCTGCTCCCATGGATGCCTCATTCCTGTGGTGCACCAGTTAACTGGGATTTGACTGTGAATATTCCGAATGATTCAGAAATAAAGTTAATGTCAAATGAGTCATTTCTCCCCGCCTTCACCTCAGTCTTAGCGCTTAGCCAAAGTAACACACCCTTACTTGCCTTCATAAAACCTGAAAACAAATAATTAAAAACTCCTGTAGACTCATATTTCAAGCCTGTAATGCAAGAGCTGCATGTTTTTTCTACCTTCCTGCTCTCAACCACTTCCCCATTTCTTTCACTGCCTCAACATTAAGAAATAAGCAGTTTTAAGAAATAAAATGGCATTTCCTGTGACCCCACATTAATGTCACAACACTCAGGGCACACAAGCGCCTCCCCTAAGGTGTTAGCTCTGTTTGCAGTAACAGATACCAAACCTGCCAAGTCACTGGGGCTGCAATTCCTAAAGACCCAATAATGCTTTTGGTTAAACTGTGAATTCAACACTAAAATTATTTACTTCTAATGCCGTGCTTAAAATGAGAGCAGGTGTCCTATATAGAAGACTAATGTCCCTACATTTTGGCTCAAGTCTAGTAATTCAGAAATGAGTTCAAGGACATAATCTTTAAGTCATCGTTATTCATCTTCCCTACAATGCTTATTCCCCAAAGTGTTGCCACATCCATTGTACAGGGCTCAGGACAGGTGTGCAGACTCTATCACTGGGGCCTGAGGCTCTGCCACGTGGCATCTAAGCACTGTCCAGAGAGCCTGGGGACCTCCACCATCCATTTGTCACCCAGCTGAGACACTTTTAATTGGGAGGAATGCATGCTTCATTATTTGACTCACTGAAAGAAGAGAGGGGATTTTTAAGCCTGCAAAGACCACAGTGCAGTTTCTCCACTCACCCAACGAAGACAGTTCTCTTAAAAGCAGAAAAATTCAAAGGTTGAGTCATCTTCCCTACAGCCTCCCCCACCCCCTCACACAGATCTGGTGATGTTTACATACTCTTCCTCTCAGAAGGGCCCCCCTGCATTCCCAACAGCATCCTCAGGCAACCAGAGGGTGAATTATTTGCTAACAATGCTGTAGAGTCCTGACCTAAAGCCTGCTCTATACCCCAGGGAGTGGCCACACCCTGCATACAGCCAACAAGAAGCTACTGTCCTTTGCCTCTTATCTTAATCTCACACCACCAGCTGGCTGAGCAAATCCCAGAATGATACCTGGAGTAGGGGCCAATAGAACCTGAAGATTTTAGTCTTAGGGTTGCAAGCTGTTTCTAATCTTACAGCCAAACCCTATAATACCAAAGGCTGAAAGCCATCTCCCTTCTTGCCTGCCTTTGGCTAGAGGACCCAAGAGCCCATGTTGCACGTGGAGAGTAGCAAAGTAACATTGTTAATTACTCTGCCAACACTGTAGCAGGATCCCTGAGCAGACTGGTTTCTAGGAGATCTCTGGTATTTACATAGAGCCTGACTCCCAAAGATGAACTATGAGTCTGTGTTTCCGGATGGCAAGAGGAGCGCTGGAGTTCAATTATGGATGAAGTCATTGGGCTCAGTGACCAAAAGAATCCATCTGGAGGCATCTCACCAGAGACTAGACACTGCACCCAGTAGTGAATATATATCCATGTAAGTGTGTATATAGCGACCCACCCTTTCAATAACCAAGATGAAAAAAGGTACAATTTGCACATGGGAAACTGAGGTCCTGAGGCTGAATTCCCTCCTATTTATAGCAGTATGTAACGAGTTAAACCTGATTCTGAAAGACTGTTTTCAACTTCCCACTGCCTCTGTCCGTCATGTCTGGACCTCAGTTATCAGGCTCATTTGTAAGGCGGACGATCAGTGTCCTGGGTTTCAAGAACACAGATAAAAAGCCAAGGGATGCTAACCTACTACTGGGTCTTCAAGGTGCTTTTCCGCTTCATCAAACCCCGTGTGATGCCACCTGGTGAGGCCTCCTAAACCCAGACAGGAAGTGCCTACCTTCCACGTGTGGAAGCACGTGTGTACCTTCTTCAGGCCCTTATCAGTGCTAACTTTTACATTCGTTTCCTAATCAGACTGAGTTCCGTGGGCTGGTCACCAGGATTTTAGTCATCCTGGTCTGGTCTCCACAGCCCTCCCCCAAACAACTCTTTACACGAGTTTTTATTGAGTGAGCACACGTACATGGCACCAAACTCTTGATATTTCTACTCTCCTCAACCCGCGGCCTCCGCGCTCTACAACCGGGCGCATCTGTCAAGTAAAGCTGTTAAGTAACGTGAAGCAGAGGCAGGGAGCCAGGTGAATGCCTCGAACTCGAGGAGGCCTCTGAGCAGCATACAGAGGCGTGTCGGGCCGGAGATGATGCTCGGACGGTAAAACGGGCCCGAAAGCCAGTGGTTCGCGATCCAGAGGAGCGGGCGCGGCAGGGCGGGTCCGGCGCCGCTACGTGCAGCCCCGCCTCGGCGGGATGGAGCCCGGGACACCCCCACCCCCACCCCCACCCCCCCGGAGCAAGCGCAGCGCTCCGGCCGCACTATCGTATTCTGGACGGCACAAAACAGGAACGCGCCACTGGGCAGCCACCCTTTCTTCCTCTGCAGCGGGTTAGACCAAGGGTTATGTAACCCTCTAACTGCGCCTCCGGCCGCCACCGCATCCATCTCCGGGCCGCCTGGGAGCCAGCCTGCCCATCCGCAAACCACTGCACTTCGGGAGCTGACCCCGGAACTCCAGGCCGGGGCTGGGGAACTATGATGGAGAAGTGGGGCAGGAGATGGGAGGCCGAGGGGCGGGGACGGGAGAGCAGGCGGACGTGACCAGAACAGAGGGGGAGGGGCGAGGAGGCCGGTGGCGCGAAGGAAGGTGCGCAGCAGAAGGATGCGCTGGAGCGGACGTGACCAGAGAGGCGGGGGAGGGGCGGGAGCCGGGGCGCGAGAGGGTAGGTACAAGGAGACAGCAGCTGAATGGAGGAAGAGGGGAGCGGAGCCAGAGGAGTTTCAAGGAGAAGTTACAAAGAAAGCATCAGAATGAGGGGGACACGGACAGGTTGAAAATAAGGGGAGAGTAATAAGGATGAAGGCAAAGAGACGGGCATAAGAGCAGAGTGGAAACGGGGGAGACTGACGCATGAAAGGAAACTATCAAATTAGGAGGATAAAGGAAGGAAGACGAGAGCGAGACCAGATAGAGGAGGGAGGAATAGGGAGGTGAGAATGGGACCAGAATGGGGATGGGAGAAGGTCAGGGACTGGGGCAGGAAAGGGGCTGGCTGACTCATCTGCCTTCGGAAGAAGCGGGAGCTGGGGGCTTCGAAGGCGACCCTAGGCACAAGCAGCCTTTCTCCTCTTTTCTGATCCCAACCGGGTGAGCCCAAGATGCCCCGGATCCTGCGCCACCCTCAGTGCGCAGGCGGGCCAGCATTCCGCATTGCCCCGGGAGACGGAGTCCCGGTGGGGACGGATGGCCCAGTCTCTCCCCACGCTCACCTCCGACGTGGTCCGGCTAGGGATGCGCTGCTACCGCAGACAGGTCCGGAGGCTCGCGACGCGTCGCTCCAATGCGGGGATCCGCTGCCTCAGCCTCAAGGTTATCCCGACTGCGGGCCGCCGCAATCCCTCCGCCGCCCCGCCTCCCATCCAATCCTGGCTCCCGGCTCTCAGGGCCCCGCCCCTCTGCGTCCTCGCCGGGCACAGTCACCTTCAGTAGGAAGTGCCGCGGGGGCGGAACGGGAGAATCAGGTTGCCCTTTGAGGGAGGACTACTTTCCGTGGCGGAAGGACACGAAAAATAAAACTCGCAGCACTGAAGATAATTAGGGCCCAATGGGGAAGCGGCGAGACAGGAGGACCCGCCCTCGGAGCTCTGGAGACCTCCTTCCCAGACCCCCCCGGCGCCCGGGCCACCTGTTGCGGCCAACTTGGAATGCTGGACCAGGTCTTCTTTTGACCCTTGGCCCAGGCCACCCCAGCTGAGTGGCCCTGGCCTACCCAGATAGTTCCCAGATTTATGGGTCCCCGGGCAGCAATCCCCTGGCCCGGGTGCCCGCCCCAGCGCACGCCCGGAAGACTAAACCGAACAGTCAGAGATGGGGAGGGGGATGTAGACTCATGGGATGGTTGGAGGTACGGGCCGCCTTAGGAGGGGCTCTGGAAGGACACTGGAACGGGGGTAGAACGCGGGAGGGCGGGGAGAACGCGGGAGGGCGGAGTGTGCTAGGAGCGGGAGCGCGAGCGCGAGGCCCTTTTGTTCTTAGGGTTTAGAACAAAGAAGGACAAGCAGAGGCCATGTGAAGACTTTAGTAGGGACTGGAGTCCTGCGGAGCGAGTGCCTGAGAGTAAAAAGTGAATAGAAGGTATTAATATTAGTGCAGAACTGACCATTCAGGAATGTCAGAACGTTAGATCCCATAATCTCTGCCGAAGTAAGAATTTCTGTTTTCAACCTTGTGTATTTAAATCAATATTGTTGGAGCTTTTCTTGTATTTTTCCTTAAGGCATTTTCTGACTTCCTAGTGCTCACAGCAGTTATCAACGAAGCAACTGTTAACTCTTGCCTCCTTTCAGCCAAATTTTGAAAGCGGATACAATGTTAAAAATCTCGAATACTATTAGGTTCTTTGCTTTTCCTGGAAAAGAAACCAATGGGTGTGACCCGCTCAGGCAGACACCCTGCCTGTAGCTGAATCACAGGACTTCATTATGCTTTCCTGTTAGCTCAGATAAGCTGACAAAAAGTAACAACATTAATTTGTTTAAGATAAAATATTTTAATCTCTTCTATAAGCTGTTTCTGGTTCCCTCAGTTGCAGAGAGGAAGGGAATGCTTCCTTATTGAGGTGGTAAGAGCTCATGAAGTTGCTGAGAGGGAAAAAAAAATCATGCTTTACCAGAGGGAATCAGATTCTTCTCTATCCAGAGAAAGAGGGTGGCTTAAGTGGCCATATTGGCCCATCAGCTAAAGATGAACAAAGTACAGTGTTGAACAACACTAGAGGGGCAACGTTCTGGCCCGTGCTGGACTATGTTGCATTTTAAAGATCTATATCTACATATATTCCCGTGATTGAAAAGCACATATATTAAACTGGAGAGTTGATAGCAAACTATTGCACTTCAGTTGCAGATTTTGGTCTTCCAGCAGTTACAAAAATGCTGTCCATGAATAACCAACAAGGACCTACTGTATAGCACATGGAACTCTGCCCAATATTATGTGGCAGCCTGGATGGGAGGGGAGCTTGGGAGAGAATGAATACATGTATATGAATGGCTGAGTCCCTCTGCTGTTCACCTGAAACTATCACAGCATTGTTAACTGGCTCTACCCCAATACACAATTAAAACTTTAATAGTTAAAAAATATATATATTAATGAAACTTTCACAGACACTAATGGACTTTATTTTTGCTCATATTAGATGCATAGTGAAAATCTGTCAGAGTTTAAGGTGATTGTGCTGAGAAGCAGCTTAGTATAGAAGCAAGCATGGGTTCCATCACATTTAGTTCCAATTCCACTCACTAGCCCTATAATCATATCCTGTAATTTAGTGTGAGTCCAGTTCCTTAAACATAAACTGCAGACAATTCTAGCTCCATCGGGTGGGGTTTGATAGTTGATGTATGTGAATGAGTATAGCACAGGGCTCAACAGGCATCCTCTGAGAACTCACTAGTTCTGGAGGTTTTTCCTTGTGACTAGTGCCAGAACATTGGTCTCAATTCAGTTAACTGGGTTTGCCCTTCTCTGAACCATCCTCCTGAAATGAACCTTTATTCCTCTGACCCAGCAACAAGTAACCCCAGGACTACAGGAAACTGGGGAGGCTGAGGGAGGATACAGACCCCCCCCCTCCACTTAAGTTAGGCTCTGCTTCCATCCATTCCACTGTGCCCACGGGCTAGCAGGATAGGAGGAGTGGCCGCTAGGTTCACTGGACTGAGGTGTAAGTGAGTGAGAGTGTAGACTGCTGTGTTTGTTACCTGTTTGGATTTTCAGCCACAGAATCACAGAATCTGGAATTTAACTCTTGATGGTCATTTGGACTCCCTTGCAAGGTAGGTGTGTCAGCAAACAATCTCCGAACAAAACTCTAGAGCCTAAAGACAAGCTTTGGCCCTGGTGAAGAAGGTAAGGTTACAGGTTTTACCATTAAGTGACCTCTTGGCCTCTGCCTGAAACAGCAATGTTACTTCTCTCAGGCCAACACAGGTTTCCAGGGCAGCCCACTGGCCTGGATGTCAGATTTAAAAGTGCACTTTGGACTTCATGTACCCTTTCCAATCTACTGTTAAAAAGTAGACTTTTTAATTTCTTCAGTGCCTTCCTTCCAATTCCCAAGATCTCTTCAGGCCCACCAGGGTGACAGAAAACCTTAATTTCTGAGTTTTCCCCAAACAAATCCTGTAAGGAAGACAAGGTTGACCTTTTGGAGTTAAGGGATAAAGAGAACAGGTTGTCTTTTGGGGAAAGGAAAAGATTCATGGAGGAGGAGACTTAGAGGGCTGTTACCACAGAGATGGGCACTAGGAAGCCCATTCCAGGGGAAAGGGACAGTAAACAAATGTTTTCTGAATGCAACTGTGTCTCTCAGTTCCCCCTCCTGAGGAAATGCCTTACCAGCACTAAGAAAAGGGAGATTCCTGAGGAGTCCTTGTTCATTCCAGGTCATCTCACTGCCTCAGTCAATAGGCCCTCCAACAGTTTTTCTCCAGCCCAGAACTGTTACTAATCACAGGACAAAGCTTCCTTAGGGTGGGTCGGTCCTATCCACCAAGCCACTCCCATGGAGGCCTGGGCACTCTCTTTTCCCTACAAGCGTAGCCAGAGCTCAGACTCCTTATGAAGCAAGTGAAATGGTAAGCAGACCCCAGTGCCCCAAAGTAATCAAGATTTAGAAGACTAAGAAAGGTATCAGTGGGATTTCTATGAAGGTCCGGTGGTTAAGAGTCTGCCCTTCCACTGCAGGCAGCATGGATTCAACTCCTGACTGGGGAACTAAGGATGCCGCATGCTCCTTGTTGTGGCCAAAAAATAACATAGACTAGAGAAGTTTTGCCAAAAAAAAAGAAAGGCATCAGCAAACAATAGATCAAATGCCCCCTCCCTAGGAAGTCCTCCTGCTGCAGTGCCATCATAATCCACCTTTTCCTTGACACCGTATTTTAGTCTCCACCTCCAAGCTCACTGGCTACCAGCTAACTGGACCCACGTCTCCTTGGAAGAGCATAGCTAGGACAAAGACAACTTTGGTGTCTCTCGATAAAATAATTTTTGTAGGCAAAAAGGGTGACGTCCTTGGGCCCACTGGAGGGTGACTCTGAAATAGCTGTGGAAAATTCTATATTCCAGAGACTGCTGCCTCATCAAATGAATTGCTTTATTTTCCCCCACCCCTCTTCTGGGGGAGAAGGGCTCTGAAGGAATTATATGACCCCTGAAGCTTCCTCCCCGCCACTCCCAAACTGATCCCAGAAGCTGAGACCTCCATCTCAGAATCCTTCCTATGAGAAGCTGGTAAGTAACCCGGTTATGACTCAGCACCATACTCTTCCCTTCTTCTCCCCAGAATGAAAGGCAGAATCCAGAAGGCTCCTCCCTACGGATGGCCACATTCTCACCACAAACTGAGTCATGGCCACGCCCTGCCTGGAAAGTGGAAAATTACTGAGAGGGAAGTGGAAGGCTAAACTCTAGGAGTTTTAAGTTTTCAATCCAGAAATCACAGCCATCTACTCTCCACCTGGAACTAATTGAAGAACAGTTGTTTACACATCCCTAGCCCTAACACAGCATGTCCAGGTCTAACCGAGTAAAGCTGCTTGAGTCCAGGACTACGTGGAAGGTAGGAGGCAACCATCAACCTCTGTGCATAGTGTCTGTACTGGCTTTGGTGAAGGAGGATCTCCTGCTCAGACCTGGCTTTCACAGGCTCCACCACCCCATCTCCAAGGCGGCCAGGCCTGGGTGGGAGAAAGGGGCAATCCTTCAACTCCCACTCCAGGCTGTAGGAGGATTCCCCTCCAGAAACTCAGTGCCCCATGCAATTTTCCCTGCAATAAAAGCATTCTTGTTAAAGGAATGCTGCGGGTTTTTATTAGGCTTGTTTTACGGTGTACATGTTTTTAATTTTTTCAGATATGGTTATATGGCTTTCAGACTTCTCAGATTCAAAAAGTCCTATTGCTACTATGTAGAACACTATAAAATAGTATATTTAATTTCATTAGTTTTATTGGCATTAAGAGACTATTGTGCATATGCTATTAAGAAAGTGATTCCCATGAGGCCAGTTCAGGTTTTTTTGTTTTTCTGGTAACACACATTTTCTGTTTATTACTTCTCATTCCATCATTTGCTAGTACTCGTTTTATCAGATGCCACTGATAAGAACTGTAAGAAATGGTTACAAATGAGAAAAAAAAAATCTATCAACAATTTCTGAAAGTTGAACAAAAATGCTGTCTAGCCAAGCACCTAGGTTCAATTGCTGGAACACTAGTAGGAGCAGTTAGAGAATCCCTACAGAAGTAAAAAAGTGTTAAGAGCTCAGGTCCTGGAGTTGAGCAACTCTAGTTAAAAACCCAGCATGGCCACTAACCAGTCGGGAGATGTTACCCATGTTATTTAAGATCCCTTTAAAAAAACCTATCTTCCATCTTTGTTGTCAAGTTTAAATCAAAAAATGATGTAAAGTTTGAAAGGCTACATAGCACAGAAACAGAACAGCAGTTCTGGAGTCAGGCTGCCTGTCACTAGCTATGGAATATGGACATATTGCTTATCCTTTGTGTCTGCTTTCTCATCTACAAAATGGGAATAATGGCATCTACTTCATAGGCTTGTTTACAGAATTATTTTAGTCCGCATGTGTACAACACTTACAACAATACCAAGAACATAGTAAGTCAAGGTATTAGCAAAGTATTAAAAGCGCTTAGCATAATGCCCAGCACCTACCTAATAAGAACTGAAAAATGTTATCTCTGAAAAAAACTATCTCTGATACTATATAGATGAGCTTCAAGGGTCCTTCAAGGAGGCTGGAATTTCAGTTAGGATGGACTGCCTAATGGGGGATTTCCAGGTGGCTCAGAGGTAAAGACTCCACTTGCTAACGCCCGAGATGTAGGTTTGATTTCTGGGTCAGGAAGATCCCCTGGAGTAGGAAATGGCAACCTACTCCAATATTCTTGCCTGGAAAATCCCATGGACAGAGAAGCCTGAAGGGCTATAGTCCATGGAGTCACAGGGAGTTGGACACAACAAATGACTAAGCACACACCCATAATGAAAGACAACAGGTAGTCTAGTACAGGCCGTATAAATCAAGAAGCTGTAACCATTTTTAGAAAGTCAATACTTGAAAGTCAGGCTTGTTTAAAGCTTTTTGTAGTCTCTGTGCTTATATTCCTGTTTTTCTTCATTAACAGTTTGTAAAACTGGCAATATCCAACTTGTCTCTTAGAACTTTGGGGTTTTAGGTACATGGAGCACAGCTTGAAGGCCAGAAGGTTGGCAGTGAGAATTTCAACAAGGAGATGGCTTTCACTGAAAAATTAGATGTTCAGAGAAACAGCTGTCTTCTCTCACATTGCTAACTTTGAAGAATCTGGATTTTGTTTCATTAAAGGAAACTGGATTTCAAGTTAGAGAGCTGTCAGCTCTCCCTCCACCTCCCTTATCCCAAAGAAATAGCTGGGAGGAGGAGGAGGAAGAGAGTAGGGCCCAGCCACCAAGATATAGTGCAAAGGAGAGGATAGGTTTTGTGCAGAAAATAGAGGTCCTAAAGATAGGAAATCTGAGCTACTGTGGCCTCAATAGTCCTTTTAAATCTTGAAGAGGAGTCACCAGTGATATTCTGTATCATTCTCAGTTTGTGTCATATGCATAAGTTTCCTTTATCTAATCCGTTGAATAAAATGTTGACAGATCTATAGGATACTATACTAGATGGACTTAGCTTTGACTCCATCCAACATAAATAGTCCCAGCCCCCATGATGTTCCACTCTCCCCACCCCTACCCCCATTTGAGGGCTTGGGGCAGCAGGTGCTGGGCCAAGGCTAGTCAGACCACAGTGATCATATCCAGTCCACAGCACCTTCCATTTTATTGTTTTATTTACAAACAGGGTGAAGTTCAACTGGGAAAACCGGGGTAAGGAGTCAGTCTGGGCCATCCAAATGTGGAGTGGTTCCTGGGTCAGTCTCCACCATGAAGGCCGCCTCGTCTACCTTTCTCCTGCCCCTTGGTAATGGCCCCTTGAGTCCTCAGGGCAGACTTGTCTGCTGCTCCTGAGCCCTTCTATGAGGGCAGATGGATCCTGGGGGAACAGGGGTGGTACGAGGGCTGGGGGCCCCCTCAGTTTGTGTAAACCTGAGTTCCGATCACACGCATGATTTCCTTCTGTATCTTGGGGTCCTGAGTATTAATGTTGGCATCGCCCACCTGACCATCCTCATATCTGCCAAAGATAATGCAAATGTGAGCATAAGAGGGAGCCCAATCCCAGAATAATGTCAACCCATGGACCTGCATTTAGGGGTGTGGCCATCCCATCCCAGAACAAAACCCTTTCTTGCTACTCTTTAGGGTAGAAGAGTTTATCTGGTTTACTCTAAATAGACCTTGATTTATACCCATCCTCATCCTCCAAGGGGAAAGTCCCAGTTCTGGCTCTACTCAGATAGCCAGGGACGTCTCCAATAACAGAAACAGACTTTCCCAGTAGTCCATATCATTGTGCTCTCACCCTCACTTCTCCAAGTAATTCCCAAGGTACCCTCCTAGACTTACACAAAGAAGAACCGTGTGCAGACATGGTCGGACACAGGGCACACCCAGATGTTCCCATGCTTCTGGAGGTCCTTAGATGTAATCACTAGGAAGAGAAGGGCCAGAAGTTATAGGTACAATGCTTGGGTCAGAGTCCAGGCGGGGGGGTGTGGGGGGGGTGGGGAAGGTAAGATGCTTCAACATCACCCTTGGCTGGATCATGTGCTAAAGTGGCACCAGAAATAAAGGTGGGCACCCACAAAAACAGGGACTGGGTGAGCTACCTACCTTCACAAAGTGCTATGCAGTTTAGATTCCGACTCTGCAGGAACCTTGACTGAATGGATCGGGTCTAGGAGAGAACAGAGCCAGGTAGATGGTTACAGTTTTCCCTAGAGAGGTGAGTTAACTGGTTGTAGTTAGCAGGGTGGGGACTGGGATATCCTGGGCTTCCAGCCGCTTCCCAAAATTTCTGATTTTCATAATCTGTCTCGATGAGTCCAAGCTTCCATCTTTACATTTTCATGTCACTGGATTTAATAAACTCAGTCTCTGAACTCATACTCATGACTGTAGCCACAAATGACTCTGGAAATGGGTTCCTCTTAGAACGTACCTGATTGCTTGACATGATCTATAAGCCACCCACCCTCATCACTACCAATGTTTCCCCATCCATCTCTGTATAGCCTAAACTTATCCGAGGGGGTGTGTCCTGCCTCAGTGGAACAAGGGCAACTAATAATACCTGGGGGATGGTATTCATTCTGTTGTATCTCTGGACGAGCTCATCTTTGGAGGGCATCCTGTGCTGTCCTTTTCCCATTCCTGTCACAGAAAAACAAGCCAGTTCATTCACCCATTCCTTCATCAAATATTTACTAGTGCCTACTATGTGCCAGGCACTGGAGCTAAAGACACTTGGTGACATAGCAGTGAAATAAGCAAACAGTATATCTGCCCTCACAGAATTTAGCCTTATGGAGATTACAGGAAAGGAACAAATAATCATGACACAGCATGGTAGGGGTTATGATGGGGATGATACAGAGCACTAAGTAAGCCAGAGAAGGGGAACTAGCCTAGCCCACAGGTTTGAAGAGGGCTTCCTGGTGACAGCTAGGCTAAGAACTATTGAATTAGGAAGAGTTAGCTAAATGAAAAGGAAGGAAGTGTTCTAGGCCAAGATAACAGGACATGTAAGGCCTGGAAGAAAGACACAGTAGTGTACCTTAGTTTGTATGGAGCATGGTCAATGGCAGAGAAGTGATGAGAGATGAGGGGGGGAAGAGGTAAGCTAGGATAAGATCAAGCAGGCCTTGCAGGCCATGTTAAGGCAACCAGAGTTTATCCTGAGAGCATCAAGGAATCACTGATGGATTCTGAGATAGGGAGTAAGAGGTGAAATGAGCAAGGAATGAGGGGCCTAGGAGAGTGGTGACATCAACATTTCAGGTCCGATGCCAGGCTGAGTGAAATGAGTGGAAGAAAGCAAGCAGAGCACGTCATATCTGCTCCAGTTTCAGTGACATAAAGAGCTCTGAGCAGAGTCATTCAGACTAAAGGGAGAAGGCAGAACAGGCAACTGATGAATCATTTTACACAGGTAACCACAATGGCAACTACCCTGAAGAGTCCTGCTTGCTTCAGAGTGTCTTCCCAGACTTGAGGAAGAGGTATCAATTTACTTGCTTTCATCTTTTCGAAATCCATAAATCCTCCACCATCCTTAACCCTCATTGAACAGCCCTGTTTATAACATTTAGAGACTCACTCTGGACTCTTCCTGTTTAGATATGAAACAGTGCTTGTGGGCCCCTATTCCCAACTCTTTCTGTCCCATGATTAGGACTCCAGTCTCTGTATTCAGCTTTATCACAGGCCCAGCCTTATCACGGTAAGGGGTGAGTCTGTGTATGTGTGTATGAGACCGTGAGACCAGAGAGGGAGATGAAGATGGGAAATGATGCTATTACTGCAGACCAGAAGCAGGGTCACCCTGGCACTTTCTATTATGACTAACTCCACTCTGCTGCAAGTCTTGGTTTTGTGGTAACCATGGTATAGAAGCAAGGATGATAACCACTGGACTGACATTCTTCACTACTCAGGCTGTCAATTCATCATGCACTCACACTGAAGCCCCATGACAGATTTATGGCTTGAATAAAAGTTAAGGCAATGAGAACCTCAAGATTTGAACTGCCAATTTCCTTCTCCTATAGGAATGCCCACCATCCTCTGTTTCCAACTTCTTCATTAGCCTTAACTAGGTTCAGCTCTGCATCCAAACATGATAACCTTCTCAGCCTGGGTATTTCAGTGCATGGTTCTGAGTAAAATTCCCATTTAGGTTCTACCTCAGAGGCTGAGAGAACAATCTGATTTCTATGGCTGGTCTTAGAGGTGGCCCTTCTGATGTAATTCACATCTTGCTCCATCCCAGTCCTGCCGTGCACTGTGCTGACTGTAATAACCCTGATCATCTTCTCTCGGTTTCCTGGGCCCAGACGTACTGAGAACCCAGAGGCCACAAGACTCCCGGTTGCGCGGTGTCCAGAGTATATACTTGTGACAAGTTTCTAAACATGACTGAACAAACAGATGGGGCTTACCATCTCCTTTCCCACTCTTCCTCATTTTAACCTGCACACTATGGCCAAGTCTTTAGAGGCTCCGCTAGTCAAATGGATGCTCTCTATTTACAATGACCCCTCAGAAGGGACCTGGATACCCTGAGGAAAAATACAAAAAACTAGAGCGGAAAAGGGTAGAAGGAAACATACAAAGAAGACAGAGTTAGTTATATGCTATAAGTCAGACATTTACACACATCCCATCCAGAGTTAGAGACTCTCACATATCCATGGGGCCCTCAGAAAATCAGTTATTCAAGCAAAGCCTGCCCTGTCAGTCCAATATAATGATAAGAACACTCTCACATATCCATGGGGCCCTCAGAAAACCAGTTATTCAAGCAAAGCCTGCCCTGTCAGTCCAATATAATGATAAGAACACTGGCCTAAAAGTCAGGAGAACTGGATTCCAGTCCTAACTCTGCTAGTTAGATCCCTGTGACCCAAGAAAGTCATTTAACTTTTCTGTGTATGTACTTTATCTGAAAAGTAGTAAGAGACTGAACAAAATGAACAAAATGTAGCTATCATATAGCTACAATAGAAAAACATGGTATTTTGTATCTAAAATCATCCTTTGGAGGGAGAAGGATGGTGCCATATGACGTTTTTACATAATCAGTAAATGAAGAAAGTTAAGAAGTCAATAGAGATTCCTAGCTCCATCTGATAACTAAAGGTATTCAGGCACTCAGTAGTAAACAAAGGCCAATGGGAGAGGAGAATAGGGAAAAAACAGACAACAAAAAAGATTTTTGTGGCCACCAGAAGCCAGGAGACTCACTATTTAAAATAAGGGATTAATTTGAGAGAAGCTTAGGCTGGGACAAAGATAAAAATTGCGGTATCTAGACAAAGCCAAGACTACCCCAATCCCACCCCCACTCTGGACTATAGGCACACAGAGTAAGATTCATTCACACATTCAATAAATATTCACTGGGCACCTACCCTTTGTTGATTACTCATAGACATACTATCATTTGTTTAACAGGACAATGAACTAAGAACAGACGTAAGAACTAAAATATTATCAGTGACTTACATCTAAATGCTCCTAACCCTATCCCAATATCTGCCTCCACTTGGGAGATACCCACTATTCTGAAATTTAGGTTGTTATTTTTCTTCTTTTTCCTTTAGTTTTATCACACACACACACAGCTAAATAATTTTGTCTACTTTTGGGCAATATAAAAAAGGCATCATATAGTAGTCCTTTGCCTTTTGCCTTTTTTTTTTTTTTCAATTCAACCATTATTTACTTAACATTTTTTCCATGTTGCTGAATGCCACTGTTGGTTCACTGTCATTGCTGAATAATAATCTATTGTCAGAATAGATTATGATGTATTTATCCCTTCTCCTGATGATGAGTATGAGTTTTTTTTCTAAGATTTGTTGTTGCAAAAATACTATACTTTGGGTGCACATATTCAGAAATGAAAATGCTTGGTTGCAGGGATAATATCTCAAGCTTTATGAAATGTAACACCAAACTGTTTTCCAAAGTGACTGTACCAATTTATATTCCATAAGCAATAAAAGATATCCTGCTGATCTACAACCTTTGGTACAATCAGAGGTATTACTGGATTTTTTAATTCTTGCCAATCCACATAGGTGCTAAATGGTATGTCATTTTGGTCTTGCCTTTACTTCCTTGATTAATAGAGGCTGAGTAGCTGCTCATATTTTTGGTCATTTCTTCAGTGACTTGCCTGTGTTATTTGCCTGTTTTTTAATTGGGTTGTCTTTTTCTTATTTGCAAGAATTTATAATGCACTTTTATTACTAATCTTTTGTAGTTATATGTGTTGCAAATGTCTTCTCCTAGTTTGTAAGATGCCTTTTTAAGGTGTCTTCTGATGAACAGAAACTTATAATTTTAATAAAATCAAATTTACCAATCTTTTATGATTTTTTTTCCATTTATTTTTATTAGTTGGAGGCTAATTACTTTACATCATTGCAGTGGTTCTTGTCATACACTGACATGAATCAGCCATGGACTCGCATGTATTCCCCATCCCGGTCCCCCCCCCACCTCCCTCTCCACCCGGTCCCGCTGGGTCTTCCCAGTGCACCAGGCCCGTGGTGCACTGTTTCATGCCTTTTGTGATTTGTAATTCCATCTTTTTGTATTCTCTGGATGATTCTGCTTAAGATTGGGATAATTTGTTCTTTTCAGTTTGACTTAAGATCCACTTGTAAAATTACCTGGATTTGGCAAGGTTTTTGTTTTGTTGTGAAAAATTTAAACTACTATTTCAATGTCTTTTATGTTAGAGCTATTCAGGTTTTCTATTATCTTCTTGAATCAGTTTTGTTAAGTTCTATTTTTTTAGGGATTTATCCATCTTGACAAAGTTTTCAAATCATTTGCATAAAGTTGACAGAATTCTTTTAGCTTTTAAAATTTTGGGACTTCCCTGTCAGTTCAGTGGTTAAGACTCTGGGCCTCCAATGCTGGAAATGCAGGCTTGATCCCTGGTCAGGGAACTAAGATTCCACATGCTGTGTGGTGCAGCCAAAAAAATAATAATAGTAATAAAAAGTAAAAAAAAATAAAACTTTGCTATATCTATAATTATGTTCCCTTTTTTATTCATATTATTTAATGCTGCTCTTTTTCTTCTTAATCAATCTACCCAAGTTTATCTGTTTTGTTAGTTCTTTAAAAGAACCATCTTTTGGTTTTTTGGGGGGCCTGTCTATTGTACCTGTTCTTATTTCATTAATTTTGATTCTTATTTATATTATCTCCTTTCTCCTTCTTTGTTTGGTTTATTGTGTCATTAGAGACCTTTCCATCATAGTTCTGTTATTCTGGAGCTAAGTGTTCTTATTTTTGTAACAGTTATATTAATGGAGAATACTAAATCTATAAAGAATCTAGCACTGGCCCCTTCATATGGTAGACATGAGACTATATGGTGGCTTTCTCTTATACAAAGACTATACAGAACCTGAACTGAAAAAGACTGAGAAGAACTCAGATATAAACTTGTAACAATGAGAAAGCTAAGTCAGATTTCTTTTCTGAGCTGGACAAAGTGGGACTCATCTCCTAACTAGAATCTGGATGTTGCTCATACCTTATCCTTGGAATAAAATGCTTCCTCTTGCCTTCAATGTGACTAATCTAATAGTGTATAATTACACACAGTTTAAATTTTAAAAAGTGGTTGACAGGGAGGAGAACCATGTCTCCAGAAATATAAGCCAGTGGAAGGGACTCAAGACTTCAAGTGCACTCATGTATCAACTCGCACCCATGTGTGCACATACGCAATCTGACAGGCTGTTATCAGCACCGAAAATGTGTTCTCCAGAGTCTAGAGTCATCTCCCAGTAATTCCTTAACCCACTCCTAGGGCTAAGGTCCCACAGTGAAGGGTTTTATTAATGGAGAAAAGGGTATCTATGAGAAAGGGAGATAATTGGCCTCACCATAGAAATAATCTAAATTCCTATCGAAAGAAAGAAGAAAAAGATTATGTATCCACGACTGGGGAGAGAGCTGACACAGACCAAGTATCCATGATGGAAGAGGAGACAGCATAGGTTTATGTATTCACAAAATGGATGCAATGTAAATAGAGGCAATGTGGCCAAAGATTATTTCTTACCTGAGTATCCAAAGGAAATACTGGAGATGGGGCTCAGGTAGATGCCTTTGCCATAGGCTGCTCCATGCAGCTTGCAGGGAAACACCAGGATGAGCAATATGAGCCTGGGCCCTCCCATGGCTGTGTATTAGGCAGCCACAAGGCTTATCCAGCCCTCTGTCCCTCCATTTAATCTTCTCACTCATTCAGATAACTTTAGGCACCTACTCCTGAAAAGCTGATTAGCTGAAAAGTGGATGCAGGTTAACACCTTTGCCTATGAAATACTTGATTCCTTGGAGAGTGATGAGTGGCATAGCCACTGAGTCAGTTACTCAGAACCCACGCTCTTGCCATAGGCCTGGGTACATATGTAGATCCCTGCCCTCTAAAAAGGAATGCAGAACAGGCAGCCAGAAAGAGGAATAATAATCACTCCTTGGAGTCTTGCAGGACAAAGAAATAAGTCTCCTATATCAACTCTCTGACTGAATAGTCACATATATTGAAAAGCTCTAACAGGTTCGTTGATCACAGTGATTGCAATCAGCAATTTCTATTTCTGCCTACAGCTATATTCCCACTCCTAAAAACACAGCCTCAGGTCAAAATACAACCACCATATTCATTCTATATATATAGTTTCAACTTCCTCCCTAGGAAAGCCTCACAGGAGGCTAGGTTTGAGGATGCCGAGGCAAACACAGTTGAGTACTTTAGAGCAGACTTCCCCAAAACGAGTGGGGCAGGGAGAAGGTGGAGAGAAAGGGAAAAGGAGCACAGCCTCACCTGCAGTTTGGTGTAGGATGCATTGACCAGCCCATTGCGCAGGATCGAATGCCAGTTCTCAATGTGGGACCCACTGTAAGGCAGTGTAGAATACATGTCTCCTCATGGAATGAAATTCCCAAGAAAATTCCAAGACTGCCACTCCCACCCATTCTCACACACACAGGACATGAAGATGGACACGGATGAAGCTAGCGATGGACATGCACATGGATATAGTTATAGGCATGGAAGATTGTGTGTATGGCTAACCCTTACATCTTAATATCCAGGCCTATCTTCTCTTCCACGCTTCAAACAGTCCCATCCTAAATCCTCAATTGCTGGTTCAATATTTTCATTTGCCTATCATCCTGATAGTTCAAATTAAACAAATTTATCTCAAACTCAATGAGTTTATCACTGATCCCAAATATGGCTTCCAATCATGACTTCACATCTCTTAAGTTACTCAATCTATTTTTTTTCTCTCTTCTCTCAAAATCAGGCATAAATTGCTAATTTTCTTCAAAGCAGTTTTCAAATCTATCCCTGCAATCTACCTTCAACCACATCTTTTTATATGTAAATGTAATTTCTCCTCAACTACATCCTAAATAGCTTAAGATTAAAGACCATATCTTAAGTATCTTTACCCTCTATAGCACCTACCACAGTAACATTTAATACGTTGACTGACTGGTTGATGGACGTAGGTCATACAGACTCCTATCCCTCAAGTGAACTTGCCCCCATCCCCCCATTTTTCTTGCCTTATCCAGCACCCAGCCCCAGCCCTGCCCCACTCCTCACTGGAAGGCAAAGGTGCTGCCATAGAGCTTCTTGGCGGTCCGGAACCGAGCCTCCTTGGCAGGAGGGCTGCTCAGCAGGAGGAACTGGTGTGAGGTGTGCATGAACTTCAGCTGCTGCCCAGGGTGGGGGTGGGGTCAGGAAAACAGAACAGAAATGGGAGATCAGGGAGGGAAAGGTTGGGGATAGGGAGCAAATTAGGCTTGTACTGATCCCAAATAAAGGAAAAATGCATTGGCCCAAAGACTACTGTTGAAGGACAAGTATAACTAGGCAGGTCTAGGACCAATGTGATTAGCTGGTTTGGAGCCCCTCTTTGCCCCTCACTAGAAATTCAGAGCTTAGACGAAGAATGGTCACTTACCCTGCTGAGAGGTAGTTTGACAATGTGCGACCTGTTGCTAGAGATGATCCTAGGATAAAACAGAGAAAAAAAAAAAAGGACAGAATAAACATGTGGTTAAGTTGCTCAGTTGTGTCCGACTTTTTGCGACCTCATGGACTATAGCCCACCAGGCTCCTCCATCCATGGGATTCTCCAGGCAAGAATACTAGAGTGGGTTGCCATTTCCATGTGGTTAGGCCATCCTAAACAAAGCAGCAGCCTTGCTCTGTCCCTTGGAGAATAAGCAAGGATTCCAGGGTTATTTGAACTATGAAGCCAGGACACTACTGGATATTCCTGTGGGTGGCAATGTTTGTGTACAAAAATGTAAAAGAAGTTACTGACCAGAGACCAGCTAGTTACTGGGTAAACAACAGATGAAAGAAAGAGAGGGGTGGGAGGTGGGCTGCTACATCCAGGGAGAGAAAAGTAAAGAAACAAAAAGAAGAGCATACGAGGTCAGCTACCAAAGAAAATTAGAGAGGTGGGTCTGTGTTAGGATGGTGACAACTTACATTTGGGATTTAGAACCTTAGCACAGGGGCTCAGGAGCTGTCCTATCTGAGCCCAGAGAAAGACTGAAGGCTCTCAGAGATGGGGGAATGGACAGTTATTGTCGGAGCTGCAGAAAAAAACAGAAGAAACTAGAACGAACTTTGTGAGAATTCAGGGACATACTGGCCTGTATGTAGGCTGAACTCAAGAGGACAGGAGAGAACAAAGGCATGAGCCACTGAGGACTCAGCAAGGGGCATGATCTCTTAGAGTGGTTATCTGGTTGGCTGTGTGCTTCACTCATGTACCTGTAATGCCATCTTGAACGGTCTACGCCTGGTCATTCCTCATGCTAAAAGGGAGCATAGTGCACTGAAAAAGTACTAGTATCAAAGGCTGACCTGACAGAGCAAAGTAGGCTAGAAAGGGAAAGCTATGCCAAGAAGAGAAAATAGAAATCAAGGTCAGGGAGGGAGAGCAGGGAGTGAAGGGAAGTAGAAAGGAAATACAAGGTCAGAACCTTTGCTCAGAGAAGGGAGTAGTGATAGTGCTCCAAGGCTCTGGACAGTCAACATCAACAGGGAAGGGCTTGAGATACAGAAAGGGAGTAGATAGAAGGAGAGAGACCTCTCTGCAGGCAGAGAAAATCTAACTGAAATGAAGTGTTAATTCCTATAGGCAAGCAGCACTCAAAAACCTACTGGGAAACAAGAAACACTAAAGAGAACCTGAAACATTGTATTAGAACTTCTGGGGTTTTTGTTGGATCCCAGTTCCTAGCCAAACCAGATATATCAATAAAACCCCAAGATAAAGCAGCCATAATATCTACAATCTTAGGAACGATGTTGAAACCACCTCTAAGAGAAGGTATAGGCTCCATGTCTGATACTATGCCCCATTCCCCCAACTGCTGAAGGATGAACCATTCTACTCATACCACTGCAGGAGAGGATGGGCCAAGGGATCCAGCTTGTCCATCTGCTTCTTGATTTCCAGGTATGAGCCCTGTAAGACAAGGGCCGTAAGGTTATCTCCCAGAAGAGGTGGGAGCCCTCCCACTTTCAACAGACTATCAGGGCCGGGGGCAAGGTAGGCACTGAAGACCACACCAAACCAAGAGGAGATGGGGTTCCCACCCTCAAGGACCCGTCAGGCTGGGAAAACTCATAAATAAATATGAAAATGACTGAAGATGCTTACAAAACAACATGCAGGTGGGTCTCCCTCATTTTATGCAATTCCTACAGCCCTAAAAAGTTGATTATAAATCAAAAAAAATAAATAAGTAAATAAAATCAATGTCCCAGAAAGATCAGGCTAAGGAATCCTGTGGTAAAACTACATAAAACAGAGTTCTTCTGACAAATAAATCATCCCTCCTAGGTGTATGTTATGTGTTAATCTGAACTGTGATATATAGGATTTGCTGAGAAGAGGCCCACCTGTAAATGTGAGTACAAATGAATGTCTATTCATGCAGAGATTGCAGACGAGGGGTGGGGAAGTCTGGTGAGGGACAGCCTTGAGTCAAAGGATGGTCACTGCTCCATGTGGCTGCCCCACCCCTAGAAGGATAGAAGATGCAGGCCCCTGGGTCTAGTTCCTTACCTCCAAGCCCCCCTCCTCACCCTCCCAACCCTGGACAGAAGTCCTTCCCTAACTTCTCTAGTGCCCTAAGAATTACGGAAAAAAAATATTAAATAGGAACAACTTGTGACGGAATTAGCAGCAAAGGAAAGGTCGAGAGAGACATAAGAAGTGAGAAATAGGAGTAACAGAGCTAACAAACCAGAGAACAAAGACTAGAAAAGCTAAAGAGGGAAAACTAAAGAGAATACAGTGAGGAATTTGAATAGCATCTCTAAATCTTCACTCCACTCCAATGAATTTCAAACAGAATAGGGCACTTGAGTGGGCAGGCAGGGGACAGGCAGAGGACAGAATACCTGGGTCATCTCCCGGATGGACATCACACTATCCAGAGCTTTCTGCAGTCGCTCATAATTCTTCTTCTGTGGGGAATCAACAGGGAAAGAAGAACCAGGTGAAGAAAAGTGGAAGAGAGTAAGATGTGATGAAAAAGAGGGCCACATGTACAAAAGAAATCTAAGCCCCAGGGAAACAGCATAGTATGTCATGAAAAGAACACAGACTTAATGTCAAAAAGTTCTACAATCACATGCCAGTTCTCTTTTACCAGCTGAGAATAACAGGGATAAGTTACTTAACCTCTTAGAACCTCAGTATCCATGTACATAAGTAAAGATAAAAAGTCCTCACTGCCCTCACAGGGTTAGTCATTTAAACTGAAGACTAACTAACATGTAAAGAACCTGGTACTGTGCCTGACATGCAGAAATGAGCAACTGAGCAGCGCTGTGCTAGACACGTGTGACGGCTCTTTCAGCAGCTGTCAACTGTCCATCGGGAAATGAAGTGCCCAAACATTTAACTGAGTGTTATTCTAGGTATGTATGTGAAGGTATTTCTAGATGAAATGGCAGACTGAGTAAAAGAGACTGCCATCACTATTAAGGTGGCTCATCTAATCAGTTGAAGGCCTAAATAGAACAAAATAGCTGAGTAAACTCCTCTGGCCTGATTGCTGGGACATGGTCTTTTCCTGCATTCAGACTAGAATTGAAAAATCAGCTCTTCAACCTCAAGTCTGCTGGCTTTTGAACTGGAACTTACAACATCAGCTCTCTTGAATTTCCAGCTCACCCACTACTCAACCTGGTACTTCTCAGCCTTCATAATCACAGGAGCAAACTCCTTACAGTAAATTTCTTTCTCTATATATCTCCTATTGTTCTGTTTCTCTGGAGAACACTAAGTATTACAATATTTTATATACATTATGTCTCATTTTCATAATAATAGATATTATCCACTTTTTACAGATAAAGAAATTGAGGTTCAGAAAGGTTAAGTGATCTGCCTAACACCATTCAGGTGTTAGGGAGCAGCAGAACCTCAAATGGAATAAAGGTCTGTCTAGCTTCAAAGTGTGTATTATTCCCACATAACTAATATTAATTTGTCTCCTTGTCTTCTGAGAAACTCAGAAGTTAACCTTATATTATTAGTTATGTTTAGCTACTTATTCACTAAACAGTTAAATCTTAGGGTTCAAGAGTTCCCAAGAAACAAGTGTGCCATTTCTTCTGTCCCTTTATTCCAAGTTGCTGTGTACACTAGAATGACAGCCTACAGTCTCCCACTGTCTTTCACCATTTCTGTTCCTTAGTCCTGACTTTCTTCCCAAGCAACTATACCTTAGGGTTAAAGGCCAGAGTCTTGGGATCAGTGGGGTCCACCACAGAGGGATAAGGCTCAAAGATGATGCTCTTTCTAGGGGACTCCAAAGCTGCCCTACACATGGCCACCAGCAGATCCACCACCTTAGGAGAAAGGAAAGAAAGGGGACAAAAGCGAAACGATTTCACAGGGCTGGGAGTTGTACAGTATCCAGCATAGGTCTACCTTCTGGAGGCGCTCGGTATTTCTCCTTTCGAAAACAAATATAAGGGACAGAGGGGGAGTTTTGGATAGCAGATGTGAGCTATTATGTATAAAATGAATAAATAACAAGGTCTTACTGTATAGTACAAGGAACTATACTCAATATCCTGTGATAAACCATAATGGAAAAGAATACGAAAAAGAATGTACCTATATATGTATAACAGAATCATTTTGCTGTGTAGCAGAAACTAACGCAGTATAAAGTCAACTATATTTCAATAAAATAAATTTTAAAAACTACAAATTTTTTTTATTAGAAAATACAAGCTTATCATAAAAATTCAAGAACAATGTTTAAAAGAATGATTAAAAGAAGACAAAAACCATCCCCTTGACCCCAAATCTCATTCTTCACATTAACTACTGCAAAGTTTGACCTGTATTTTTCCAAATATTTTTCCTAAAGGAATTGTTATTTTATTATATAAGCAAATTTTAAAGAATTATATATACTGTTATATTTTTTTATTTATATATGTTATAATTCTCTATCCATAAATAATAGCTATATAGTATTTCTACTGTAAGAACAAACCATCATTTCTTTAACTGGACCTTGTACAGATGGGCTTGTATCTATTTTTTCTTTTTTCAACAATTATAAACAATACTAGGGAATTCCCCAGCAGTCCAGCAGTCTAGAGGCCTCTGAGCTTTCACTGCCTAGGGCATGAGTTTGATCCCTGGTCAGGGAACTAAAATCCCACAAGCCATGTGGCGCAGCCAAAACTTAAGAAAATATTTAAAAAAAAAAAAAAACAAAAACCCACTACAGTGAACGTCCTTACATAGGAAAGCATTTCTGGAGATTAAAGTCCAAGCAGTGAAATGGCTGTGACTCAGCCATAAATGACCCCAATTCCCCAGCAGCTCTTCCATCCCCCATACCTCCGCTCCAGTGGCCACCTCCTCTGCGGCTCCGGACATGACTCCCAGCGTGTAGAAGGAGAAAACGCACAGCTCACGAGTACAGACGGCTGGCTGAATGGACATATTAAAGAGATGAAAAAAAAAAAGAGATGGTGGTGGTGTGCAATAAGAAGGTGTCATAGGGCAAGAGGGACAATTCTGACCTCAGACAACTCTAGACTGATAGTCACATATCCTCATCTTTCCAAATGGGACTGCTGAGACTTGTTTTTGGAGAAAAACTATTACTTCCAGAGTCTCAGGGAGTATGGACAGAATTCTACCTTTACCACAGATCCAAGAAGAAAGGAAAAATGGAGAGATGAGGAACTAATGGGTCTTAGCTAACAGTGTAAGAAAGAGGGTCACAAAATAGAGGTGTATACCTTGAGCATGGACCCATTCTGGAAGACATGCTGCTCATCACATACAACACAGTACTCATTCAATGTTGGGATTCTCTGCTCTGCATATTTCATGATCTGGGGAGAGAGGAGATTCTATTAAGCCTTTTTTTGGAAGTCAAGACCCAGATATAGGAAACAATCTGAACTTCCTTTCTATTACTCTCCTACCTCCCAGCCCTGTGCCTAAGGTAGACTGTATTCTTGGGTCCTGCACTTAATTAAACTGATGGCCCAACTCTGGAAGACTATATATAATGAAAATGAGACCAGCCATGGCAGAAGAATTGGGTTAAGATTCTCCCTTCTACTACTTAATACCGTATATAACTTGAGGCAAGTTAACTTGAGCCTTGGTTTCTTCATGTACAAAATGGACATTACTCACTTTACAGAAGTACTGAAATTAAAGAGATGATTTCTGTAAGAGTATTTTATAAACAGTAAGAAGTACTAATCAAACTATTAATATTATTTGCAGTAATTAGATTGCCCCCATGTGACAAGTGAGTTTTCATTCAGTCCATGATCAGATGGCGCCGGGGGTGGGAGCTGGGGTGGGGGTGGTGCTGAGAAGCCATGTTTAACTGCCTAGGACAATCAGCCTATAAAATGATCAAGACCACAAATAAAACTGCTGGGAAGAAAGCACAAATTCAGAGCTCATGCGGCAATATCATAAACTATTTTTTACACAATCTGTCTTAAAAGGCTTTCACAGTCACATACACTGTCCGTATAAGTCAAATTGTTCCCATTTCACAAACTTTCAAGATCGTAAATGGACACGCAAGGGCATTTGTTCATTTAACACAGATTTGTTGAATGCCTACTACTTCCCTAGCTCACTGAAATGTATCCTTTATTATTCAATAACATAAAAGACTATCCTCTCAGACCCTATAGTCCAATAGGGGAGATGTGGTATGTATACAAATTAATTACAATTCAAGGCAGCATATAGTACCTGACACATTGGAGCTATATAAAACAAAAAGTGTCAAAAGAATTCAGTGAGAGGAAACACATTTCCACCTAATACATTTCAAGTAATAGAGAAGATTTTAAGAAAAAGTTGGCATCTGAGACTTGATTACAATAGGCAGATATAGTGAGGAATGCCAGTAGAGGGAATGACATGAACAAAGATATTGGAGATGCAAAAGTGAAACCGTGTCAGGAAGATAATGAGGTTTTAAAGAGAAGCAAATGACCAGTAGCGGCTAAGCACTGAAGTTTGTGAGGAAAAGCGAAGCCCACTTGAGCAAGGACGTGGGGGATTATAAGAAAATCAGCCTCAAGTCTTCTCTTATCTTGGCACTAGTGCACGTAAAATTTGCAGTGCATCATTTGGCACTTGATCCTAAGTGGTACATAAGTGTTGTCTTCCCAATAATGCTATAAGCTTCTTGAGGGTGGGAACTAGGCCTTTTCTCCTATTCACACAACACTCAGTATAGTTCTGAGAACAGAGGATTTTAGGAAATGTTTGCTAACTGACTGAAGAGTTGGGAGATGTTAAGGGATCAGATGGGTCAGAAAACAGTGGAAAGGCTTTGGAATGAAGCTTTGGACTTGATTACCTGAACAAGGAATCCATATTCCAGAGTGGGGATGTTCTTGCAATGACCACTGACCTGATGAGAGTAAAAAAAAACATAAGGCTTCATGAACCTCCTAGGAAGCTGGTGACTAAAAACACCTCACTCGTGCCCATTACCTACAATTATCCTAAAGTAGCTAAGCCCCAGCTCTGCTCAATCTAAGTAATCCCCAAACTGCAGGGAAGACCTTTAGACATTTTTGGCAAAGGCTCTTAGAACAGGCTCACCTGTCCTTAACCCTTTTCAAGGTAGATATAGAATGTTTGTCAAGTAGCTGACTACCAAGTCCTAACTATAACCTAACAAAATTAAACATAACATCTCCCTGGGATGCCCAACTCCAGACTTTGCTCCGTGACATACTATCATAGAAGCATGCTAGACTATGTAGGTATAAATTCACAACTATTAAAATATGTGTTCCATTCTACTGATTCAAGATTCATGCCCAGATTTGGTTTATGATGCCTGGACAACCAGACTCCCACCCCATTTTGAGAAGCTGTATTCCACTTCCCCTCCCACCCTCTGACACCAAGTCAAACCCTCCTCAGCCATGTACCAAAGGAGAGGTCCGTGCTGGGGGAGGGAGGCCCGCGTGCTGGGGACACAGGAGACCTGCCTGGGGGCTGGGAGGGTAGCCAAACACCTCCACTTTGGGGTTCTTCATAGTGCAGGAGATGGAACGGTTCATGAGGCGTCCAACTCGAAGGTCTGGTACACCTAGTTTGCCTTTCAGCATGGAGTCCTGTATGATAGGGAAACTGGGAGACCTGAACAGAGAGTAAAGAGAAGTGATGAAACTGAGGATTCGGTATGAGCCCTAGAAGCCTGCAGGGACTTCCCTGGTGGTCCAGCAGTTAAGACTCTCCAGGGGGGCCTGCATTCGATCCCTGGTCAGGGAACTAAATCCCATATGCCACACCACACAGCACGGTCAAAAAAAAAACACAACTCCTCTCCAAGGAAAGTTCCATTGGATCAAACTGTCAAAACAACTAGATCACTACACGCCAGGTTTTATGTCATTAAAGCCTAGGTCATTCTCTACAGCATCTAGGCCAGCTAAGGAATGATACCTTGGAAAGGATACCCGTTTCACTTGCTCAATGTGTGTGTTGTCTATATTAATATATAGGTGATTAAACTACTAGGTAAGAAATAGTTGGACCCCAAAGAGCCTACTGTCTGACTGTCTATCAGTACTGGTACCTGGAAAACTACAACTCTGGGTTTGTATTTGCCTTTGGGAAGATCAGAAGGCTCACAGTGCAGGGAAGGGGAGAATAAAAGTCTGGGATCAAAGAATGCAGTAATATTTGTTTCCAGAACCCAGGTAATAAATCAATGAGCTCTTTCATAAGAGCAAGGGGCTGGGGCCTATTAGCTCTGCCTCTGTCTCCTTAGGATAGGGAATAAGGGTGAGGGTCAAAGAAAGAAAAGATGGAGAAATTAGTACATATTTCTCCAGACACCATGCACTAGGTACTATATTTTACATAAACAACAAGGTATGATTCCTGGGTCGGAGTAGAAGGGTAAAGACACATAGGGGACAGGATCATGCGGATAGTATTAGTTGTTAAAGGTACAGAATTCAGAGAACCTAGGGAGAGGACAGAAAAGTTTACATAATCAAGAAGGTGGGGTGAGGGCTTAGAAGAGATCACTGTGATTAGAGACAACCAGCTCATGGAGAAACACTTACTTGGGGATGGGTGAGAAGATGCTGAGGCCAGCTCGGAACTTCTTGATGGTACCACTTGCCTTGAACCAGCTGTGCCTCTTCTCCTGCTGGGTCTTTAAGAAATCGTTGCTGAGATGTTTCCATTGTTGGGATGTAAACATACCCAGGATTCTAAAGAATCACAGAGGAAGAGACTTAGAAAGCTCCAGCAGGGGAATCCCAGGTCAAGAAATTGGACTATGAAAGGCAACTAATCTAGAATTCAGGCTTAGGGGCTGCAAAGCTAGTTGGTTTAGGGAACTGTGTGTGTCCCAAGAGCCCTCTAATATAATCTTAGCACATGGATATGTATTGTTCTAAAGTGCCTCTTGACCTTAGTGGGTAAATTCTCACTCCCTTACCTAGTCTAATGGACCAGAAAAATTCTTAGATGCTTTGCCTTTACAGGAAAATCTCAAATTTGAGTCTTCAAAGGCTGTGAACCTGGCAATTTATTGCCAAGAAGAGCTATACCGAAAGTGAAACAGAAGTGGTGGAATAGAGGTGAGTACTACCCTTGGCCTTGTGAAAGGTGAAAAAAAGGACAAGGAACCTGAAGAGTACTGATACTGTTAGGCAAAACATTACAATCCCAAATTTATGGTTTCCAACTTGACTAGTCTTGTCAGTTCTTTCACTTGTCCTTGATCAGTTCTCTCTAGCATTACTCTATTACTGTAAATCCTTATCACCTTCTTTAAGCTCCTAACTTTACCTACAACTGATATTCTTTCTTCTCAACAGAGAAAACTGAAGCCATCAGATATCATCTTCCATGATTTTACAACCTTACTACAAGATCTATTTCCATTCCCACCCTCACTGTGATCCCGCCATCCTCTGGAGACAAGCTGACCCTCCTCTCAAGGACCAGTTGCTGTAGCTGTACTGTAGATCTCAGGCCCTTTGCCGGGACTTTGATCTGGCAATTCCTCCCCTTTCCTGGCAGTTCCTTTCCCCACATCTACAAAAAGTTCCAAGTTTCTTTATTTCAACCTAGCCACCCCCAATCCTCATCCAAACTTCTTAATCCGTATTTAATTGTTTTTACTTTGTGGCCAATCATTTACTTCTCCAGAACACTTACTATATTCTGGTTTCTACCTTTGCCATTTCACTACAACTGCTCTCACCTTGATGGTAAATCCAACGGAAACTCCTAGTTTTCCTCTTACTCATCCTCTCTGGCATCTGGCCCTCCTTGTAGAAATGTTCCTCCTTGCCTTCTCTGACACTGTTCTCTTCTCATCCTTCTCCAAGCTCTCTAACCTACCTTCAGTGTTTCTTCTTTCTCTACCTATTCTTGGCATTTTTTTCTGGGTTAAGGTGTTCTGCCCTTGACTTTATTTTCTTCTCATTCTATCTAGCTCTTCTTTGACATTCTCATATTCTACACTGGATGCAGTTCTCACCTGTACACTGCAATCTATCTTCAACCTGTACCTCTCCTGTAAGTATCAAATCTACATATCTTTCTATTGAGCAGCTCCACTGAATATCCTAAAGTTACCTTTAAACAACATCTTTAAAATGGAACTGTCTATCTTCATCCCACGAACTTGTTCCTCTTCTTAAATTCTTATTTAAATGAGTGGTATTAAAATTTACCCAGACATCTAGGTTGGAAACCTAAGAGTAATATTTCTCTATTCCTTGGCTCTTATCATATACAACATAACCAAATCAGCCTTCAAGTCTGACTTTAAACATTGCAAATCTTTCTAGTCTATCTCTCGTCTGTACTCATATCTACAGTCGTATTTTGGCTCATCATCTCACATGTGAACTTCTACAAATGTCTCCTACTAAAATAGTTCTGGTCTCTTGTCATACTCCTTCTATCTATGCTGCACAATGCTACCAGAATGTTTTTTTAATAATTAAATCTGACCATATCTTTTCTTTGCCTAAAACCTTTCAAAGCTCCCACTGCCTACAAAACAAAACCAGAAGATCCTTTCTGATTTTACACTTCCTACACACATTGCCTCATGTGACTGCCCTTGCAAATGTTATTTACTCTCAGAGTCTGTCTACATGGACAACTCTTATACATCCCTAAAAACCATTAATCATCTCCCTTTCTTTTTTTTTAATTAATTATTTTTATTTATTTTTTGGCCTTGCTGCGTGGCATGTGGGATCTTAGTTCCCTGACCAGGGATTGAATCCGCATCCCCTGCATTGGAAGCACAGTCTTAACCACCTGACTGCCTGGGAAGTCCCTCATCTCCCTTTCATATTTCATTCATCTACCTGCCACCAGACTGACTTACACCTTCCTCTGTGTTCCTTCTAAACTTTACATTTTCACTTGTATTAGAACAAGTATACACTGGACTATATTTAGAACTTGACTGAGTTCACGTCTCTTTATATAGCAAATACTTATTGAGCAAGGTGCTCAATACATTTAGTAAACTAAAACTGTCCAAAATCCTAGGGCTCCACTCTGAGGAAGTGTGATGGGCATAACTCTAATCCCAGGGTTGTGTTTTCCTTTAAATGCTAAGTACTGATGAGCCTTACCTCTCGCCTCCAGGAAGCCTCAGGGCATATACCCCAGAAACACAAGCTCCCCCGCCTAACCATAAACTGGACTCACCAAATTTATTTTAGTCTTTCTTGGGCACATGTCAGAAATACACTTTTGGAAAGAAGCATTCAAGAGTCTGCCTGTCCTATCTCTCTTTCCCTCAAATGTTCATAACCAGCAAGATCAAAGTTCTTACTTTTTCAACTGAAGACCCAGCCCAAATCCTTCCTTATTTGATGGCTGGAAAACCTCAATTGACGGTTCTGCAAAGAGAAGAAAAAGCTCCTACTACATATACATGTCTATCCTCCTGGGAGTCCAAAGCCCCAGTTCAGTGGATTAGCTTCCTCAGATTTCAAGAGTACTCTAAACAATAATAATAGAAAATGAAAACCTCTGAGGCAGAATGTAGATTCTGGGAACTGTCTGACCAATTCCAAATATCCTCAACTTCTATAAGGAAGCTGAGGAGAAGGGGAAGAATAAGTAATATCAAGGAACTAGAGAAAACAATTTCATTAACCAAGAAAGTCTTTCAGGCATGACTATTAGGTGACAGTGGAGAAGGCAATGGCACCCCACTCCAGTACTCTTGCCTGGAAAATCCCATGGACGGAGGAGTCTGGTGGGCTGCAGTCCACGGGGTCGCTAAGAGTCAGACACAACTGAGCGACTTCACTTTCACTTTTCACTTTCATGCATTGGAGAAGGAACTGGCAACCCATTCCAGTGTTCTTGTCTGGAGAATCCCAGGGATGGGGGAGCCTGGTGGGCTGCCATCTATGGGGTCGCATAGAGTCGGACACGACTGAAGCGACTTAGCAGCATTAGCAGCAGCATTAGGTGATAGGGAATGAAGACAACAATGAAAGAAGACTGAAAATCTACCAATGGCCTTCAGATTACACCAAAAGGCTTTGTTCCTAGTTTTTCTCTACCTCAGTTAACTTAGAACATTGGATTAGACTAGTTAGAGCACGCAGATGCACAAAGTCACTGCCTTTACCCGGTCCATCAAGGTACTGGGAGAGAGAAAACCGCAGCCTCAACACAATAGGTTCTGTCCGGAGGACCTTCCAGGCTGTAGAAACTTCCTCCTACAAGAGTAAGGGGAATAGTTTCTAGTTCAGCATCAGAGAGATGGACTTTGAAGTTTTCGCTATATGACACACACATGCACATAGTACTTTCTGATGGTCTAGAGATAGGCACGAAGTATACGTGCTTCAAATACAGCACTTGGGAACAAGACTCCAGGCCTATGTGGCAAAACCCACAAGCTCAACTAGACCTGTTGTTGGCAGGTACTAGTATCACTTACATCAAGGAAGCTGATGTTGATGTGGAGGTCAATGTCCACGTCATCGATAGTTCCATATTCTCTACAGAGATACAGGTGATCACATGTGAGACTCATTAAGGGAGAAAGAAGGGAACAGAAATTGAAATTGAAGTGGAAAGAGAAGTGAGCCTGGGGATAAGGGAGAGGGAAGGGTGAAAGGAGGCTCTGTACTTAGCTACAGCCACTTTTACAATCAAAGCCTTTGCCAGGCCACAAGCCCTTCTTAACCCAAAGGTGAAACTTCAGCCTAGAGGATCTAGGATAAGAGGGAACTTCTAAGAAAAGTGGTTATACTTTCCTAATTGTTCCTGTCAGCCTACCTTAAATATTCTGAGCAACTCTCACCATCATTAGGATCAAAACTTATGAAAGTTCACAGACCCCACCATCACACCATAAAGAAAAAACCTCTACCCTTTTAGCAACTCACAAAGAAGTGGCTGAGCCCCCTGCCATCCCTGAAGTAGAGTCCCACCTGATGGATACAGAGTTCTCACTGTAGATCTCCTTCACAGCTTCAATGTCTGCATCCAGCTGTGGGTGCCGATATAGGTCAGCTGCACAGCTTCCCTGAGTCGGCAGCACAAATGGTGGAGGGGGAAGAGAGGAAAACAGATAATGAAGAAGCATCAGGAACAGGGAAATCAAACTATAGCAACACATACAAGCAAAAGCTGCTTTATGAAGGGGTTCTTGGTGGTGGCCCTAGCTGGGGACTTCACTGACAGACAAGTCACCCCCCATCAGCACTCTAGGAGGTTTCAGTAGACCAACTGCAGGTTCTGCTTAAGGAGTTCACATCCTTAAGTCTCAGCTGCTCTCAACCTTGACCAGGACTCTTTAGGGATCCCTCCTATGGGAACTCAGAACAAGCTGAAGAGTACAGAATTTAACTCAGATTGGCTCTGGCTACAGCATCCAACATTTCTGCTCAGGATCATGCCCTGGACAATGACAGCACTTAACAGAAACTGGTAGAAGAAATCTCAAAAAATTTGACCCTAATGAATGAAATGACCCCTGCTGGTTAGTGAGGGAACAGTCAGAAAATAATTGTTTCCAACTAAGAACCTATGGCTAAACTCCATGCACAGAGGGTGTAGTTTATACTGGAAAAGATAAGAGTTCCAGGCAAGAGCAAAAATATGAGATCAGCTCCGACCAGATAATCTTCAGATCACAATGACACTATATCTTCATCTCTGCTCCAAAATAATCTTTCACTCCTGACGTATCCAGAGGAAAGTATACATTTAGACCACCCAACATGGGTTTAGGGGCTATAATCTCACCTGAACTCCATAGAGAAATTCCTCTGATTCATTGTCTCCCTCTGAATCATCATCGTTCCAGAACTGGCCTTTGATGTCCTGATGATGAGAAACAAAAAATGAGGGTGCCTGATATCTTGTTGAACAGAGTGGGGTTAAAATAAGAAACAGATTTTCACAAATGAGAGGTCCCTTGGAATAGAATAACTGAGTCCCCAATCCCTTTGCTGCCTTCCCCTGACCCTTTGGGGACATCTCAGTCTTTTCCCAAATCTGGTCATATCCATGGTCTAGCACTGACTTGCTGGCACAGAGGAAAACAATAGGGAATTTTAGCCTTCTTAGGTATCGGGTATGATGACTGAAGCTCTAGTAGCCAGTGGGGGAGGTATGCAGAAGACTTCAATGTCAAGGTTGATTCTCAGGCATATCTAAGTTCTAGTACAAGCTGGCCTCTTCTGGATCATTACCCAAGGCAACTCTCAAGCACACCTCGCTCTTTTGTCTCCTAACTCCCTTTCTATCCCTTCAAGTATTTAACTCCCCCCTTACTGCCCAAGAAAACTCCCTATACACACACCAAGTAATACTGTTGCCATGCCCCATCTCCTTCCCTTAACTTCAAGTAGCCACCCTATCTTCCAAAAGGGAGTGCAGGGGGAAGGTGAGGTCTGCAATCTGTTTCATCTACCCCCTGGACAATCAGTTAGAAAGGTGGGCAGTGAATTCTCACCATTGGGTCAGTGGGTAACACACACTCCTAGGTCAGTGCTAGGCAGCACCCCTCCATACCACCAGTTGAACCCAGGCCAACGAGATGGGCATTGAGGAGGCCAAGAGAGGAGACAAAGGTTGGGAGGGGGGTGGTGATGTCAGGGGCTGACTGGAGATCTGCTGAGGAAGGCAGGATCTGCTGTTGTGATGGTAACAAGTCACTGTCCTGCAGAAAGTAGACAACAATTGATCTCATCATCACTTAACAGGTGGGTGACATGTACAAAAGCACATGTTTATGGGTACACTTTTATTATACAGATGTATAGACACTTGCACATAGAAACATACTTGCATGCATGTAGACACACTTGCACACAGTTCTTTAAAGAGAATGAACCATGAAAGCACTACATGACCATAAGACATGTCCTCCAGCTGCAGAGCTGTGACTGAAGCAAGTCCCTGCTCTAGTTCATAACATTTTATCAACTCTTGAAGCCAAAATGATGATGGCAGGACCAGATGCTATGCTACTCAGTCAAGTCAGTTCATTTTAGAATATTCTTCATAGAATCAACCACCATCAGAAGCAGACACTTTTTAAAAAATCTTTATCCCTAGTTATTTCTCCAAATTGAGTGTTCATCTCTTACTTAAAACCAGTATCCTTAGGAGTCTTTCTATAACAATCATAGCTAAGTTTAAAAGTCTCAACAACTCTGACCATTTTCTGGTAGAGTCTGAGTTGTCACAGCCAAAATAATGCCCTGGACTCCTCTTGGAATCTACTCCCTGCAAAATATAATAATGATCTGAAGAAATGCTCAGAAAAACACTAACTTCTAGCCCTTGTGCAAAATTAAAAACCACTGCTTCCTGGCTTTGTATTTATCAGTTTCATCCACTCCAACCTTAAACAGAGGTGTTCTTAATCTTTAACATGGTTCTCTTGTATCTTAGGTATCTAGATCAGTGGCTCTCAAGTAAGGTCTGTGAACTGGCAGCATCAATATGACCTGGGAACTTGTTTAAAATGTAAATTCTAAGATCCTCTATTGAGACCTACTGAATTGGAAACTCCAGAGGTCTAGCAATCTGTTTCAACAACCTCTCTAAGTTATGCTGAGAACCACCGTTCTAAATCCTTGTGTGTTCCAAGGGCCTGTGGTCTGTTCCTCAGAAACCAATGTAAACCTGTAACTAACCCAGTATGGCGACATAAAGCATAATGCCAAGGAAAAGAGCATAGTAGTCCTTCATCGCAGGGCTGCCTGGCCCATCAAAAACAATATGCAAAAGGAAATCACAACTGAAGTTCTTAGAGAAGAAATGGCCTGATATCTGAGACTTGCTTTAAAATTCAACTCCAGCACAAAAGGCAGAAGGGGCATCAGGGTGGGGAACAGGTGAAAAAAACATGGCAAAGTGATGATTACTGATGAAGCTAAGTGATGATAAGCATTTCTTATACTCTCTACTTTTGTGCATAGTTGGAGATTTTCATTAAAAAAAAAAAATCAGAGACTACCCTTGGAAGGGCTCTCCCTAAAAAGTTAACTCTAAATAAGAACAGGAAGATTATCACTAAGACTCCATAAATGCCTCTTCGCTGTTCTTCAAACATACCAAGCATATTCCCATCTCGGAGCCTTTGTCCCTGCTGGTCACCCTCCTCAGGATGCTATTCACCCAGATAAGCACATGGCTTACTCCTTTACTCTTTCAGAGCTCTGCTTGAAGGTCACCTTGACTATTCCATATAAAACAGCAAAACCCCAACATACAATATAGTAGCACTCTCCATCCCCCTTCCTTGCTTTAATTTTTTCCACAGCACTTACCACACTCTGATGTACAAAATGTTTGTTTGTTGTATTTATCTCCCACCAGAATGTAAGCTCTATGGTGGCAGAGGCTCTGACTCTTTTCATTGTCTATATTGTCAGTCCCTCAACACATATTTACTGAATGAATGAACTGTCTGCTGGAGACCTAAGCCAAAGGGGAGATACATACGAGAACTTAAACACAACTACATAGACAAAAGTCATACAAAAATAATCTTAAAAAGCAAGACTCCATTCACCTTCAACAGTAGCTGAGAACCAGAACATGAAGATCTGGGGGCTGGGTTTGTGAGCTTTGAAAATAAACAGTCAGGTGCTGATCTGGATGATCACAGAGAAATAAAGAGGGAGGCACTAATGTCCAGCCTGGGGCGTCTTGGGCTGGGTGGTAGGATGATGGCAGCGTAGGCCAGAAGTACCAACTTTCACAAGCTCTCTGTCACTGTAGAAGTCAAGAAAACTTAGTCTCTCTCCAAGGGTTGTTGCTGCTTGGTTTCTGCTGTTATCATAAGGAGAAAAAGATAATTCAGAGGGTATTTTTCCTGTCCAGGGAAAAGATAATTCATAGACTACCATCTTTTTCAACCCAGGCTGCTTCAGGGAAAGGGACTCCCACCTTCAACTCTCAAAGCTCACTCCTCTGAGAGATGGAGGGAGAAAGGGTTTAAATGATGAAGAGTGGCAAAAGTGGCATAGTGGGCAGTTACCTAATTCACAGAATTACATTTTAAACAGGAATAACTAGAAAGATAGTCTTTTTCAAAGCTTTCACGTTACATATAAAAAAAATCAGGGGTAGAGGGGTCAAGCAACTTGCTTAGGTCCAGGCAAGTGGAACTGGGACTTGAGCACATTTGATAGGTTCCACCCACATCCACTCTTCCTGTGATATGGTCACAAGCAATAAAGGGAGTTGCTAATGAATTAAGCAAGAAAGACCTATCTAACTTATTCAAATGAGGTGCAGAAGGGAAACTTTCAAGAAAACCCAGGCCAAATATAGACTGTGTGAAGAGTGCCCAGAGAAGGGTGTCTGACGGTCAGTGCTTCGGCCGACAGCAGAAAACGGAATTTGCAAGGGAACTGGCCATATGTAATTAAGCCTCAAGCACGGATCACAAAAGTCGTGGCCGACGTCCACTGGCGCTTCTCGGTGTGACAACTTTATACCCAGTTAAAGAAGCCTCGGATCTCAACGTTTAAACTCTGGATTTGACTCCCACCTTTGTGGTCCTGGGCAAGGAGGTTACTCCGCTCTCCCGGAAAGCCTAGGCCACGGAACAAAGAGCGCGGCGGCGAACTCACGGACCTAACGCTACCCCGGGCTCCCGGCGGAGGGACAGGCCGGGGTGAGCCCCCGAACACTGGCTGCCACCGCGCTTCCAGAACAGGCCGTGAGGCCTCCCTTGGGGGGAGCAGTTAGACCCCTTCTCCGTTTTCCTCTGGAGACCCCCAACACCTGCCTCCCGGGAAAGCAGCTTTGTGCCCGATCTGTGTCGCTAGCCACCCGGCCTTGAGCGAAGCCTGTCAAGCCCAGGAGAGCACCTCAGAGCCACCCGGTTCAAGCCCCTCACTTCATCCACCCTGGCCGAGGAGAGGCGGGCCCCGCACCCTTTCCGCGGCCCCGCCGCCCCGCCCGGCCCCGGTGGCAGCCGCCCCACAGGCCGGCCTCGCGAGTACTCACGGCGACCCACCCCTCTGCGCACGCTCGCGCGGCGGCCCCGTGGCCACGTGGCCCGCTCGGAACCAACTGCCAAGCAGCCTACCTCTGGGCGCGCCCCCGCCCCCGACTCCAGGCTTGGGGCGCCTGCTCAATGGCCGCTGGTTGGGAGGGGATGCGGAGCGGAGGACGGCGCCTGCGCCGTGGGTCGGGACCGGTGTGAGCAGAAACAAGAGGCGCCCCACGGGTCCGCGGAGGGCCCTCTAAATAAGACTTTGGGCGTTTGGCGCCTCCAGTGATTGGGAGGACGGAGCAGGGAACGCAATCCCGGCTCTTCCTTGGAGCCAGCGCGCCGGATACAGATTGAGAAGGTTCCCCTCAGACTCAGCTGACTCCAAGAATCTCTAGTTTGTAACACCTCAGGGTCTTTAAATTCTTAAAACATATCTTTTGCTCCCCTGGTAGCTGTGATAGGCTGGAAAGCACTCTGGCCCTCTATTTAGACAATCTGGATTCAAAGCTTGGTTTCGGCACTTACTGACTGCTCAGGCTTGTACCAAGACTTTTACTTTCTGAATCTTAGTTTTCTCATCTGTAAAGTGGGAACAATGATATCTTTTTAATGGGGCTGTTGTGATGAGGAAGAAATGTAATGGCGTGTCGAACCATATGAATGTGCAAAGTAGTTGATCCATTATATCTTACAAAACAAATTTCATATGGTTCAATCTAACACATAATTTATATGCAGAGAACATCATGAGAAATGCTGGACTGGATGAAGTACAAGCTGGAATCAAGATTGCTGGGAGAAATATCAATAACCTCAGATATGCAGATAACAAAACACTTATGGAAGAAAGAGAAGAACTAAAGAGCCTCTTGGTGAAAGTGAAAGAGGAGAGTGAAAAAGTTGGCTTAAAACTCAGCGTTCAGAAAACTAAGATCATGGCATCTGGTCCCATCACTTCATGGCAAATAGATGGGGAAAGAATGGAAACAGTGACAGACTTTATTTTTGAGGGTTCCAAAATCTCTGCAGTTGGTGACTGCAGCCATGAAATTAAAAGACACTTGCTCTTTGGAAGAAAAGTTATTACCGACCTTGACAGCATATTAAAAAGCAGAGACATTACTTTGCAAACAAAGGTCCATCTAGTCAAAGCTGTGGTTTTTCTAGTAGTCATGTATAGATGTGAGAGTTGGTCTATAAAGAAAGCTGAGTGCAGAAGAATTGATGCTTTTGAACTGTGGTGTTGAAGACTCTTGAGAGTCCCTTGGACTGAAAGGAGCTCCAACCAATCCATTCTAAAGGAAATCAGTCCTGAATATTCATTGGAAGGACGTTGCAGCTGAAGCTCCAATATTTTGGTCACCTGATGCAAAGAACTGACTCATTAGAAAAGACCCTGATTCTGGGAAAGATTGAAGGCAGGAAGAGAAGGGGATGACAGAGGATAAGGTGGTTGGATGGCATCATGGACTCAATGGATATGAGTTTGGCTAAACTCTGGGAGTTGGTGATGGACAGGGAGGCCTGGTGTGCTGCAGTCCATGGGTTTGCAAAGAGTCGACATGACTGAGTGAACTGAACTGAACTGAACTGAACACATACAGAGTAACCAGACGAATACCTGGAACTAGGATTTACTTCATAAATGGGAGTTGTTAACTGTGGTTGTTATGATTGTTGACCTCAGACATGGCCAGACCTCATCTTTAATCAGAATTGGGTGTCTTGGGGCTCCCCACATGCCCCTCTTTTCCATCAGCACTAGTAAGGAAAGGTTTATCTCTTATCTACTTACCTTCCTTATTCCCTTTTTTAGCAGCCATGAAATTAAAATGCATTTTGGTCCTTGACAAAACTATGACAAAGTGTGAAAAACCTTGACAAAGCTGACAAACCCAGACAGCATATTAAAATGCAGAGACATCACTTTGCCAACAAAGGTCTGTATAGTCAAAGCTATGATTCTTCCTGTAGTCATGGACAAATGTGAGAGTTGGACCATAAAGAAGGCTGAGTACTGAAGAATTGATGCTTTCAAACTGTGGTGCTGGAGATGACTCTTGTGAGTCCCTTGGATTGCAAGGAGATCAAATCAGTCAATCCTAAAGGAGATCAACCCTGAATACTCATTGGAAGGACTGATGCTGAAGCTGAAACTCCAATAGTTTGGCCACCTGATGTGAAAAGCCAATTCATTGGAAAAGACCCTGATGCTGGGAAAGATTGAAGGCAAAAGGAGAAGGGGGCAACAGAGGATGAGATGGTTAGATAGCATCACAACTCAACGGACATAAGTTTGAGCAAACTCCAGGAGACAGTGGAGGACAGGGAAGCCTGGTGTGCTGCAGTCCATGGGGTCACAGAGAGTTGAACAGGACTTATCGATTGAACAACAGCACACATACACAAGGAAGGCTTTGGCCCTGAGTGATGTGAACACATGACATATCTACCCCTCCTGAGCTGACTTCAGTCATAATGTTCCTAGTGACGTTTTTTACATTTGAATATCCTTGGCATCTCCCTTCTCATTCTCTCTCCCTTTTGATGCCCCTCCTCTTCTCACCTGGCCTCTCAGCTTGTGCTCCAACACTGTCTTCATGTCAGTTTGTTACACCCATTGTGTATAATAACTGAAAAAAGTGAGGGATGTAAAATAACAGGACTTGGAGCCTTAGTCACAGAGTGTAGAAGTTCATAGTCACTGGGGAAGGAGTTGCCTCTGCTCCCTAAAACAACTCACCAGCAAAGGCCCCGGAACAGCTTTGGAGAGGCAAGTATTCATGGGAGTGTTTGAACAGAAGCACTTTGGGTAAGCAGGGGAGGTCTGTCCCCATGAGTGAAATGTCAAAATCCAGTATTCCATAACCTTCCAGGATGTCCCCTCTTTACTTCCTTCCATCTCACACCACTAGATCTTCTACTCATTGTGAATCACGTGAATCTCAGCTGGCTCATGCTTGATTAGTCTTTTCCTGTCTTCACTTCTTTACCCAACCAGTCTAGATCCTGTGGTCAGTTACTTTAACCACATTTTTTTCCAATATGCTTGCCCTTTAAAATCACAAGCAGCAATCTGCCTTCTCTATTCTCCTGTCCTAAATCCGGATAAAGGAAATCATCCAGTCCTGCAGCACTGAGTTAGTGAGTGGACACTGTTTTGTTAGTCCAGCCCATGAGCCCTATTCTTTGGGAATTAAAATTTCCACACTGACTCTTCAGATCTGCAGTCCCCAGGACCAGGCTTGTCTTCTGTGGCCTCTGGCATCCCAGCTGCAGTTTATCAAACTGTGAGTGGATTCCTAATCCAAACTGAGCTAAGCCAATGTTCTCTCCTGGGAAATTTGGATTAGGGCTGAGAGACTATGATTCTAACTGAACTGGTTTCTTGAGCAGAAGAGATATGAACTCATGAGTCATCCACCATCCCAACTATTGGGTTGGCCAAAATGTTCGTGTGGGTTTTTCCATACCATCTTAAAGAAAAACCTGAATAAATTTTTTTGCCAGCCCAATGTTACAAGGAATGGAGAAAGGCTATCTCAGAGAGATAATGAAGACTGGAGAGGCAGAGACCAGAAATCATGAGACAGCTCTTTGGTTCCTGAAGATGTCTTAAGCCCTTTCTCTTCCTTCCTTCCTTCTTTCCTTTCTGGCTGTGCTGGGTCTTTGTTGCTGCACATTGGCTTTCTCTGGTCGTGGTGTGCCAGCTTCTTATGTGGTAGCTTCCCTCGTTGCAGAGCACAGGCTAAGTAGTTATGGTGTGCAGGCGTAGTTGCCCCACGGCATGTGGAACCTTCCCAGACTAGGGATTGTACCCGTGTCTCCTGCATTGGCAGGCAGATTCATAATCACTGGACCACCAGGGAAGACCTCCCAGGCCCTTTCTAAGGCCCTCTGACCTTGGGATCTATGAGTCACCTTTATCTAGAATAAATCATATAAGGAAACTTATCCTGGACATGATATAGAGCGACAACAAATTCACTTGTGTCCTCAGCTATGCCCTGAGTGTACAGTCCTTCTACACATCAGCTTGTGCCACCACCCCCCATTCTGCTTCATAGAGAAAATAAAGTCAGCGTGGAGGAATGATTTCCTTAATGTGCAGCCCCCTCCAAACATTTGAATCTCCCCTACTCTTTCTCAGAAGTAATGAAGTCTCTCTTCAAATCCAAGCTAATCCTTTCTCTTAAAAATCCTTATAATTTGTTTTTCACTTCCTTTTGTCTCTTTGGGAACTTTGCTCCTTTATTTATATTCCTCTTTCATGGATAGTCAGCTTTGCCTCTCTCCTACACTCTGATCTCAGCATATAAACTTGATCAAATAGCCCAACCTAAAAAAAAATCCAATTTTAATCCCACACACTACTGATCATTACACCACCCTTTTTCTTGTCTTCAAGCAAGCCTCTAAGTAGTTTACACTCTCCATCTAGTGTCATCTTCCTCTCCCCCAAACCTCTACTGAAACCATTCACCAAAGTTACAGATGACTTCTGAACTTCGAAACCCATTGGAAAATTTCAGGCTCAACAATAATTTGACCACTGATGTCAGTTGACATCCATGATTAGCAGTCCCTGCATCCTTTCCCTCTGTTGGCTCCTGTGGGCTGTGTTCTTCCAGTTTCTTCCCACATTTCACATGACTCCTTCATGACTGCCTTAATAGATTTCTTTTCTGTCATTTACCACTTCTTGTTGTTCAGTTGCTAAGTCATGTCTGACTCTTTGCGCCCCCATAGGCAGCTGCATGCCAGGCTTC